GCCAACAATGCGCGCTGTCCTGCGCCGCGTTGTGCCGTGCTGCCGAGCTCAAGTTCCGATTCACTGATGGAACGGGACGAACCGAGAGGGGGCGAATCCAAAGAAAGACGGAACGCACCGAGCAAGGACGGACCGACATGCGGCACACCGAGGCACGACGAACTGAGACAGGACGAACCGAAGCAGTACCAATTGAGACGAGGTCCAGAATCACACTCCGCCCCCGCTCCAGCTGCCACGACCCCTCATAAATTACGCTGCGCCCGCATTCCTAGGGCCACGAACCCTAACATTTCACACTGCGCCCGCGCTCCAAGGGACCCGATCCCTCGTAGATTACACTGGGGTCGCGCTCCCAGGGCCCCGACCCCTCGTAAATTACGCTGCGCCCGCACTCCAAGGGCCACGATCCCAAATAATTTACGCTGCGTCCGCGCCCACTGGGCCACGATCCTTTGCAAATTACGCAGGGTCCATGCTCCCACTGCCGCGATCCCTCGTAAATTACACTGGGGTCGCGCTCCCAGGGCCACGATCCCTAGTAAATTACGCTGCGTCCGCGCTCCCAGAGCCACGATCCCTTGTAAATTACATTGGGGTCGCGCTCCCAGGGCCTCGACCCCTTGTAAATTACGCTGCGTCCGCGCTCCCAGGGCCACGATCCCAAGTAAATCACACTGCGTCCGAGCCCCCAGGGCCCCGATCACTTGTATTTTACGCTGCGCCCGCGCTCCAAGGGCTACGATCCCTTGTAAATTACATTGCGTCCGAGCTCCCAAGGCCCCGACCCCTTAGTAAATTACGCTGCACCCGCGCTCCGAGGGCCACGATCCATCGCAAATTACGCGTGGTCCGCGCTCCAAACGCCACGACCCCTCGTAGATTACGCCGCGTCCGCGCTCCCACGGCCTCCTGGGGCATGCTGGGGCGCCCAGGTTTGTCAAGTTTTGCAAAACAAGCGTTTTGCTCGAGACATCCTAGATTTTTTTGGCGCGGGGGGCGCATCGTCTTCGAGCGGGCACGCAACAAGTCAACATTTTCACGCTTTCCGCGCAGCGTTGGATTTTATTATATACAGTAAAACGGGGTCCGCGGACCCTGTTATTTATCGAGGATCCGAGATGGGGGGTCGACTTTCCTCGAGCGGGCACGCTCGAAACGCATTTTCCGCGTCGAATTCGATTTCATTTAGTTTTTTCACGGTGGAAAGCGGGGGTCCGCGGACCCCGTTATTTATCAAGGATCCGAGGTGGGGGGTCGACTTTCCTCGAGAGGGCACGCGCGAAACGTATTTTTGTTCATGCCGGATTGGACTTTATGTATTTTTAAATCGAGCAGAAATATGTTGGCCCTGCATAAGTTGGCACCGAGGGGAATTACCAACTAAAAGAGAACCCTGGGACGGTGCCCTTTCCGGGACGTAGTATGGGGACGATTTTTCAATGATTCCCTACCTAGGCTCTGCCTAGAAGGGTTCTTACCCTGTGTGCTTAAAAGGGCCGGGCAGTGCTAATCGCCCCGGGCGGTTCCCCCGGCATCCGCCCCACGGTTCCCCCAGTTACGTCCCCTTAGTTTAGCGTTGCTTATCTCATCTTAGCTTACATAGCTTATTTGGTCTTAGCTTAGCTTAGCTTCATCTTAGCTCAGGTTTATTCCCTACCTAGGCTCTGCCTAGAAGGGTTCTTACTCTGTGTGCTTAAAGGGCCGGGCAGTGTTCCTCGCCCCGGGCGGTTCCCCCAGGATCCGCCCCGCGGTTCCCCCAGTTGCGCCCCCCTGGGTTCACCCAGCTTAGCTTAGCTTAGCTTAGCTTAGCTTAGCTTAGCTTATCTCATCTTAGCTTAGCTTAGCTTAGCTTAGCTTAGCTTTGCCTAGCCTAGCCTAGCGTAGCTTAGCTTAGCTTATCTTAGCTTAGGCCAGCTTGCCTTATCTCATCTCATCTCAGCTTAGCTTAGCTTAGCTTAGCTTGACTTGACTTAGCTCGGCTTAGCTTAGCGGAGCTTAACCCAGCTTAGCTTAGCTTAACTTAGCATAGCTTAGCTTACCTTAGCTTAGCGCAGCGCAGCATAGCGCAGCGCAGCATTAGCACAGCATGGCATATCATAGCATAGCCAATCATATCATAGCATAGCATAGCATAGCTCAGCATAGCATAGCATAGCATAGCATAGCATAGCATAACGCAGCATATCATAGCATGGCATATCATAGCATTGCTTAGCATAGCACAGCGCAGCATAGCATATCATAACACAACACATCACATCATATCATATCATAGCATATCATTTCATATCATATCATAGCGCATCATATCATAGCATATCATAGCATAGCATAGCGCATCATAGCGTAGCATAGCATAGCACAGCGCAGCATAGCATAGCATAGCCTAGCATAACACAGCGCAGCCGAGCGTACTCTACCATAGCATAGCATAGCATAGTTTTACCTAGTGACTCCAACTCCTAGGTAGGGTCGCACTGGGATAGTGTTTGAATGCCTATACGACCGCCCTTCGGGTGATAAGGAGGTTGTGTGGGGTGGAACAAAAGTCGATCTCACTGTCGATCTCCCTATCGATCTCACGATCGATCTCGCGATCAATCTTACCCAACGGGACACCACGGGACACCATGTGACACCTGTCGATCTCACTATCGATCTCACGATCGATCTCACGATCGATATCACTATCGATCTCACTCTCAACGGGACACCACGGGATACCACGGGACACCTGTCCATCTCACGATCGATCTCACGATCGATATGACTATCGATCTCACTCTTAACGGGACACCACGGGACACCACGGGACACCACTGGACACCACGGGACACCTGTCGATCTCACTATCGATCCCACCCTCAACGGGACACCACGGGACACCACTGGACACCTCGGGACACCTGTCGATCTCACTATCGATCTCATTATCGATCTCATTCAACGGGACACCACGGGACACCACGGGACACCACGGGACACCGCGGGACACCGCGAGCCACCGCCGGACGGACGGACGGGCGGGCGGGTGAGAATCACTTGTCTTGACTTCGCCCTAGCAACGGCGGGACACCACGGGGCACCACGAGACACCACGGGACACCGCGGGACACCGCGAGCCACCGCCGGACGGGCGGGCGGGGGAGAATCATTTGTCTTGACTTCGCCCTAGCAACGGCGGGACACTACGGGACACCACGGGACACCACGGTACAAAGCGGGACACGGCGAGCCACCGCTGGACGGGCGGGCGGAGGAATATCATTGTGTCTTGACTGCGCCCTAGTAACAGCGGGTTTATTCCTCTCGCGCGCCCATGCAGCTTCGCCTCGCCAGCACGCACGACACGAACGAAACGAAACGATTTCCCGGTTGGGGATCTCCGTTCCGCTGCGATCTCACCTCCCAACATCCGTTTTTCTGGCTTGTGGTAATACTATTTTGTAAGTTTTCCTCCATAATCCCGCCTGCAGGGGGACATGCCCGACCGGACACTAGGTCAGGCACCCTCTTGTCGGGAGGTGTGGAGGGTGGAGAGTTAGGGACCCGAACTTAGGGTCTGAGACCCTAAGTTCGGGTCTAGACCCAACTTCTAGACCCCTGATCGACTAAGTTAGGGTGGAGAACAGCTTCTAGACCTAACTTCTGGACCTATCTTCTAGACCTAGCTTCTAGACCTAAGGTAGGTTGGAGAGTTAGGACCCGGCGGATAGGTCTAGACCCTAACTCAGGGCTCCTGGCGTCTCTGTTTTTTTTTTTCGGGCCCGGCGTGGTCGCCCGGTCTCGGGCCTTGTGGGGCCCTGTCAGATCTGGTCGTGTCGGGAGGTGCCGTGGACAGATGGGGTCCGAGGCTCTGGTGTTAAGTCGGGCGTCTCCCCCTACAGGGGGGTTTTCGACGAAAAAAAACAATACCCCAAACATAATTTCAAAACATATCCCAAAATACTCTGGGGACTATTTTTGGAGTATTTTTTTGACCTGATTGGAGTATCTTTGGGGTATTCTTTGTTTTTCGTAGAGAATCCCCCTGTATAGGGGGACACGCCCGACTTAAAATCTCGTCGCGTCGGAAGGTGCCGTGGACAGATGGGGTCCGGGGCTCTGGTGGTGACCTTCACGCTGTTGCCACGTCCGCGACGTCGCAGGCCGCCAGAGGAGCGGGCCAGGGAGAGTAGAGGCCTCCCAGCGTGGGTCCCGGCAGGTGGGGTCGGAGGGTCGCGCCGCGTTGCCGACACATCGCCGGTGAACCCTCGGCGCATCGGCGATGCATCGGCGCCGTCGGCGACGCATCGGCGCAGTCGGCGTTGAGTTACTCTGGCTGCACATCGAGCCGCATCGTCGATGCAGCATCGTCGATGCGGACCCGTTGGGAGGCCTGGAGATGGCGCGAAATAGCACCCCATATCTATAGACCTGCCAGGCTGCTTAATGCCTCGTCTGGAATCTGGACGTTCGCGTCCTGGTGCTAGGGGGGCAGGGCACTGGCTGGCGGGATGTGCAGTGGTGGGGGGGGAAAGGGCAACAGTGCTAACACGGAACATGGATTAGCGACGCGTGGATTAGCGACGCGTGGATTAGCGACGCGTGGATTAGCGACGCGTGGATTAGCGACGCGTGGACTAGCGACGCGTGGATTAGCGACGCGTGGACTAGCGACGGGTCCAGATCTCCACAGAGCATCGGCGCGCTCCGTCGCCACATCGGGCGGCACTGGCGCCATGTCTCGGGGGGTACCTTCCCCTGGAGGAGGAGGAGGAGGAGGAGGAGGAGGAGGAGGAGGAGTAGGAGGAGGAGGAGGAGGAGGAGGAGGAGGAGGAGATCCGTGGATCTGGCGCCCACGCGCCAGATCCGCGGATCCCTGATCCGTGTGGGCGCATGCCCGATCTGAGGATCATCGACGGGAGAGCCAGCGTCAACCAGGTTAATTTGCGATCCCCCAGCGCCTCCTCGAGGAGACGCTGGGGGATCCGGCCGGGCCGGATCCGGCCCGAGAG